CTGTTGCAGATCAGCTGAGCTTCCTCTGTTCCTATGCACTGTATAGGGATTTGGGGTATGCACAACTACTTCAGTCCAGGGTTAAGTGTTTAAAGCACGAAGTGCTGCTAACACAGTTACAGTGCTGAAGAAATTTATGGGAAAACATAGGCTCCAGGTGGGAAAGTAATATTCCCAAGTTTACAAGGTGTGTTTAATGCCAAAGCCATCTAACTTGCTTTGTCTGCAAGACCATGTTGTCTCTCATCTCAGGATGCAAAAGTGAAATATTTCTACCCTGTGGGTAGTGGCACTTCAGTGTAAGGAGACAAAAAACTCAACCCTGTATCTTTGTAGATGGAAGTAGTAATGTGGAGGCCTTTTTGGAGAGAAGGTCTTGTTTTTCGAGAGATGGGAGGGAAGAATAGTAAAGTGTCTCATTTGATGTTGTGTGTATTACATTGCTTATCTATTTTTTTTTCTCCCCACAGAGCTGTCTATTTTGCATGCTACTCCAAAGCCAAAGAGCGATTTAATGGCATTTTTGTGCCCAACAGCAACATTGTGCACATCTGTTCCGCAGGTTCTGCAGGTACGTATTTGTAATTCATCTTCCATGTGGTCTGCAGCAATACCCCCGTGTCCAGCCCCTCACCAGTAGCAGGCAGTACATACACTGGGATCTGTGTGCCTCCGAGATACACCTTCATTCTTTAAAGTATTTATTCCAAGCTGTTGTTGCTACAAGACTACTTCTATCTCTCTCGGTAGTTGGGAAACGAGTAGGATGAATCATAAGGCAGGACTGGACTTTCAGACTGTCTGCACGAGACCTGGGCTAACCCACCAGTCTGGGCTGACAGCTCTGGGTAATTGTGGTATATGAATGAGTAGTGGCGCACTCTGAAAATGTACACTTAGTTTGAGGTTGTTTATGCCAGAAAAAGTGTTTGCTATAGCTCCTAACTTACCTTGTCTACAGGGGAACTGTTTTTCTTTTCAGCACTTTAAAATATTTCTGGATTGTTGCTTACTAACTTGGGATGAGCTTTTCTCCAACTGCAGTGCTGTGGTAATGTCTCTGTAAGAAAAAAATATTAATAGACACCAGCAAACTTTTGATACTGTTTTAGCTATATTGTTTTAGGATCTTGTATTTTTCCTACCAGGATGGGGAAAACAATTTGTTCTTGTAGGAAAAATACTGCAGAAGAGTTCTGCTAGTTCAGACATCAGTCACCTGAGTGATCATTAAAAATAATCTTTCCCAAACTAACCCCTTAATTACGGGTGGATTCTGTTAACGAGATGGCTCAGTGGCACCACCTAGAGCCTTGGGGAAAACAGAAGACTAATACATGTGTGTTTTCCCCACGGGTCTCTTTTTATTTATGACTCTAAAATCTAGTCAGTAAGTAAGGTATCTTGGCTACAGCAGTCTTTAGGAACATGAGGCACATAAAGAAATTCTTCCTTTTAGCACCTATTTTATTAGAAACTCCAGGGCTGTTGGATGACACCTCCTGAAGTTTAGCATGAGATGGTTCTCTGGCCACAGAGGGATTGTAAGCTCCACACCTGCATGTCTTTTGAAACCTCTAGATAGAGCTGGTAACTAGAACTGTCTCATTGCACAGTGTATAAAGTTCATCTTGGCCATGGCAATGCATCAGCTATATTTTTGGGTTTCTTTTTTTTTTTTTCAGCCTTTATCACGAACTCCCTGATGAATCCTATATGGATGGTGAAAACCAGAATGCAACTGGAACGGAAGTAAGTAACGGATTGAGGGAGGTGGGATGCTGTGGAGTGGCTAAGGGAGCCTCCGGAAAACTGAACTTTCATGTTTTTACTCATGGCTCTTTGATAGATCTTGCCCGGTTGTTTCCCTGACTCTCAATTCCACCTTTCAAGCCACCGTGCTTCTGCTTGGTCTGACTGAAGGTTAAGGTTCTGTGTGTCCTACTTAAGTTTGATGCGTAGTTACTATTGGGAAGAATGTGGAAGTTGCTTTGAGCGCTTGAGTTAGGTTCAGTTTCTGGTTTCACTGTAAACCTTAAGTAAAGTTGGGCATAGCATTATTTTTCTTTGAGATTCCTGCTTACATCATCCTCTGTACTTCAGTGGTTGTTGAGGGTAAATATATCAAGGACTGAAATGCTTTGATGCAGCAATAATAGAGGCTGTGGAAAGATCAGAAGAGCTCATGTGGGAGGCTGAGCATGAGGTTGCAGTCTGTTTCCCATTTGGTGACATCACTTGTGCTGATCCTAGATCATACAGATGTGTGTGTTACTGCAGCAAACAAAGGTTCCTGCTACACAGCTAGGCAGCTGTAAACAGAAAGGGTGATGCGTTTAAATTTTAATGAAGCCACATTAGTTTTGTAAGAAGTTCTAGAGGCAATAAGGCTCTGTTGCAGTAGTTTAATGTCCTTTTGCTTCCTTCAGCATTGTATTACCCTTGAACATACCTCCTGAAGACAGAGAGGGAATTTGACAGTAATATCTTTTAGTTGAGTGATTCACAGCCACTGGTGGATATCGAAGCAGTGAGGGACTCTGCTAATAATGTGACTGTGTAGAATGGAAATTCCTTCCTGCAAGGACATGTTGGATCAGATAAGAAGGATCCTTTAAGGCACCACAACTTAAAAGTAATTTACGAGACTTAATTCCAGCACTTCGCAGGGTGGCACCTTTGAACTGAGTGCGGCCTCTTAAAATGAAGGATCATTTCTCATGTAGCAGGCCTCTGTCCCTTGGCCTGCTGAAGCTGGCTTTAACTGGAATTATTATTTTAACACCAAGCAGTGTCCTTTTGGTGCTTATTGTCTTTTAAAGCATTGGTGTGAACTGTAACAGGCTGGATATAACTTGAGCTGAAAAAAATATGCTGTGTATGTACTAGTGAATTAGCAAAGCCCAGTGTGTGCTCTTAGCATGACAGTCCTGCTCTACATAGCTTTTCTGGAAGATTTTTGGAGTAAAACTTAGCAGAGAACCTTTTCTGTAATTATAAAAACCGTTGAAATCCATGAGGTTTTTTTAATACCAGTCCTTTTTCTGGGCTCATTATATGCTCTGTTCTGTTTGTTTTTTAGAGTCAGAGGCTCAAAGCCAATGAATGCTTTGCAGTGTGCTAGATATGTTTACCAGACAGAAGGTATCCGCGGCTTTTATAGGGGCTTGACTGCCTCCTATGCTGGGATTTCTGAGACCATTATCTGCTTTGCTATTTATGAAAGTTTAAAAAAGCACTTAAAGGAAGTCCAACTGCCCCCTTCTCCTAATGGGACCGAAAGGAACTTGACAAACTTCTTTGGACTGATGTTTGCTGCTGCTGTTTCCAAGGGCTGTGCCTCTTGTATTGCTTATCCACACGGTATGTTAACTTTTCCATTTATGACTGCAGTAGAACAGCTGTTGCCTGTAATCCAAGACGAGTGATGGGGTTTAGGGCTGTAAAATTCTTAGTTGTTTGAATGGCCAGATGCATGTTACTGTGGCGTGTGTGTGCACATTGGCGTTTTCTGTACAGGTCCCACCGTTCCTAGTTAGCCACATAGTTGGTGATTGAGGCTTCCTAGTTTAAAAACAACTCACATAATGCCAAAAAGAAATTGAATTGCCTGATGCTTCTGTTCTCACTAGTAACCTCATCTAGCTGAGTACCCACAGCCTTTGGGATTCTGTGATCAGCTGGTGGGAAACACTTATGGGCTGAGTGCTGTTATTTTTTTTGGATAGACATGAATGTTATTGTGGCTATACAGAAAGAGCAATATTGATTATGTGAGCATTACTGAAGCATTTAGTTCTACAGTAGCTTGAATGAGCCAATAATCCATTTATTCTATATGAAAGGGAACTCATCGTTAACTTTGCTTCTTGCCTGAACGGTGATGTGTACAGGATTCCATGGCTGAAAGTACTGGCAGGCGGTTGGCACAGGAAGGTTTTCATGTCCCTGGGTTTTGCATGTCTTTCCCAGAAACGGCATGTTTCTCAATAGAAGGGTTTAAGTTTTGTTAACTTCGGGCTCTGTTTTACCTTTCTCCAGAGGTCATACGGACACGGCTGCGAGAAGAAGGCACTAAATACAAGACTTTCATTCAGACAGCACGTCTGGTAGCACGTGAAGAAGGCTATCTCGCCTTCTATAGAGGACTCTTTGCCCAACTCATCCGGCAGATACCAAACACAGCCATTGTGTTGTCCACCTACGAGTTAATTGTGTATCTGTTAGAAGACCATGCAAAGTAGCAGAGCCAAGACTCCTGTTATAGACTGTAGACCAATTTCTTCGTTGAACAAATAGTCTTTAAAGAGACTGATGCAGGTGGCAGCACTGGTGGAAAAACTACAAGTCTGTGACCACCTGCTGGATATTTCCTTTTGGATTCATGCTTTCTGAAAGGTCTCAAGTCATTAACGTTAATAGTTAATTAAAACTTTTTTTAACTTAATGATAATTAAACTGCTACTAAATTAATTTACACTATTTAATTTAAGTATATATTTGTCCTTTTCCTTAAGCACAGCCATATGTGGTCAAGGAATGTACCTCATACTATCAAGTGATCTCTTGGACTGATGTTCATTAAAACTGTATTAAAACAGAAGAACTGGTTTGGAAATTTAAAACTCCGTCGTCTTACCACTGGACTCATGTCACTTTAGTGCTGTAATAGCCTAATGCCCAAATAACTTTGAGAGTTCTGGTTTATTTAAAGTGCCTCATTCATTGCTGTGTGAACATCCTGGAGTGTTCAAGTAGGACAATTGTGTAGTACTTTTCTCTGTTTTGATAGTATGAAACAAGCACACCAGAATCCTTAGAAAAGCCACTTACACTGGCATTATTGCTGGAACATGGTTGTGGGAGGCTTTTAGTAAATAATTAATTACAATACTGTGTGCACCTATGTGTTTGGAATACATGCTTATGCTAGTGTGTGTAAACACAACTGTCATGACTTGACTTTTAGACCTCACTTTTGGGAAGGACTGCGCATAAAGATGGTTGATGATTGTGGCCTGGCTGACCTCTGGAAATTCCATGAGATGCAGTAACGTGGTCCTGTATCCTGACCTCAGCCTTTTACTACTGTGGGGCTTGTTTGTTTTCCTTATACTTAAATGCTAGAGGTCTGGAGAGTGGAAGAGAGGATGATAGGTCTCAAACCTATAGACTATAAATGCAGTTCTGGGTTCTGCTCTACAATATGATACTCAGGAATACTTCCCTCTTGATTTGATGTCCTTGTAGAGCAGTGCTTCTGATGGGAATGAGATACGGTGTTATCTCATGGGCATGTCACTAGAGTTAACACCCCAAAAAATCCACAGCCTATGTAAATAGTTTCTTTCCGCCACTATTTGATTTCTTACTGAAGGAAATAAGGATTCGTCAGCTTAGTGCAGCCTGTTTCAGTTCTTGTTTCATCTAGGTATCTGCCTTCCCCTTCAAATACACAATATCAAAGGGTTATTCTTCAGCAGTACTCATGGTAAAGTTCTTACCCTTCGGTTATAAATCAAATATCCTGCCTACTTGAGATCACTCCTTTCATAAGTACTAGAATATGCTTTTAATTTTAGTAGTCTCTACCACTTGTATTGCAGAGAGTACCTTGCAGTTAAAGTATTGTAGATGAATAATTACTGATAATGCAGGATAAAATATTTTAGTACGCAGATGGGTAGATTTGTGTTTTGTTTTGACCATACCATGCTCTCCTATTCATTAGTGTCATTTGCTTTGGCAGCTGAGACAAACACTACAGCATTTGAGCCCAACGTTAGTCTTCCCTGCTGTTGAGCTGAACAATGAGCTTCTCATGATTTGAGCAGGTGTTGAGTTCTTGAGCATAAACAAGTGCTTACAGACATCTCTGACTTCAAGGACCACATACAGCTGAGGTGGTGGTTGGACTTGGATCATGCAAAGCATTAAGAAACAGCCTAGTAGTGAGTAGGGCTTTTACAACATAAAGTTTTCATGCTAGTATTTTTTTTTCAGAAATATAGTGGGTTGATAACTGAATTCAAACCTTCACGTTTGTTCTTGTTAGAACGTAGCTGATGAATGGGACTTGAGGTCATATTTGACATCAGTGTGATGGAGGCACATAATGCAAAGAGGGTAGAACGTGTGTATACCTCATTATGAGGCAAAACTGCAAAAATAACTGATTTCTATTATGGTGTACTGTAAAGAACATATCACGTTACCCCCAAGCTAAAATAGGAAACTTGAGTAACTAAAAACTGGCATGGCTTTTTTTATGGAGACGATGAGCAGCAAAAGCTTCAGTCTTACAGGAGTCAAAACCGTCATACAGTGCTGTTTCTATTTTTGAGAAGTAGGACACTTTTGCTGCTACTTTGAAACATTTTCTGAGATTGGCTTTCTTAAATTAGTATTACTCTGTACTTTACAGTAGCTCACTTCTGAAATCAGAAATGTGTAAGACTGCAGATATCTTTTGAGAATGAGGGGAGGGAACTCAAACCCTTTTGAGGAGTTCAGGACTTAGCAAGAGAGAAAGTGAACAAATCTGCCTGAACAAGTTCTGCCTAAATCTGATGGAAAAGTGGGAATTCTGCTGGATTTTTGGTCTGGTTCTTTAAGCTTTGCTACCAACCCTGACAGAATTAGTCTTAATTTGATAGAGGGTTAATAAGCTATATTGGGAGCTAATAGAATTTCTGAATTATAGTTTACTCCTTTTTCCTTCTTTACTACAACTTTCAAAATTCACTAACCATTGATTGCTTAACTGTGTAAAGAGTTAACATTTTTAGGTGATGCTCTGTGAGCAATCCCATTGATGTCACTGAGTATGGAATAAGCCTATTACTAGAGGGAAGAATTTGAAAAGGGATGTCTGAATTTAAAAATAACCAACCTTTCTCTGGTTATGAAAGAAAAACTAAAAGCATTTTTCACTGTTCATTCCATTTCTTTGACTTCCACAGAGAGTCAGTTTCATGGAAGGCAGGTAAATTTATTACTGGTTAGAATTTCCTGGGCAATTTCCCTCCAGGTTTAGGCTTCATTACTAGACACTTTGTAGCTTAATTGTCAGGAAGGTGATGAAACTATGGTCATATCTGAAGTGATCACAAAGTTCCCATGACCTTTAGCAGGACCAGGTCTGTTCCTGTTCATAAGTTACATTCAAATTACAAACACACTGTTGCTCCAATAGTATTGAGCTAGTCATGTTAGTTAAGTTAGCTTTGGAAGCATTTCTTGGGCATTTGAAGATGGCACAAGTCCTTATGCTCGAAGACTTACTGCCTATCATGGTTGCCTTGATATCCCTCAAAATTATCTGCATTTACTGATGGTTGTGATACCTGTTTGTATTGTATTGCGATTGTGCCCCTCACCATGATTTACAGCTGTTTTGCACAAGTTCTTCATGAGCTCCTTGAAGAAGGAAACTTTTGGTAAACTGCATTTATGGCTGGAGTGGTACTACAGGTATAGTTGATAGGAAGGGAGGGATTTCTGTAGAAGAAAACAGACAAGCTCTCAAGTATAGAAGTCCTGGAGGACTTGCAGAGGGGCTTGGTGTGCCAGGTGACTGGGTTATTCCTCCTCCTTTCCCTATCATTTGGTCTCATAACACAATCCCTAAATAATCAAGCTAAACAATGAAGAGAGATGGAAAAATTATGTCCCACTCACACTGACCAAGAGGAAATAGTCACTCTTACTCCATAGAATTAATTTCCATGGTTAAATCTGTGGAGATAGAAATGGAACACTTAAGACCCCAACCACAGTTAGGCTTAAAAGCACAGCTGACCTCCAGTACAAATATTTGTCTATGAAGAGCTTTTCTATTTGTGGCTTTTAAAAAACATGATGTTGACACACCTTGGTTCCAAATTTTAAGCAGTTCTGTCTGTCGTGCTGAGAAGATTTTTTTGTTTGTTTCAATCAGGAAAACTGCTATGCAATTTGAGGCAGGGTCAGTCTCCTAATTTGGAGAGGTCTTCCCTTCATGTAAAAGCGGGACATGACTGTCAATCCACCAACTGCTTCCAGTTCTGTAAGAGCAGTAAATCCCACTCGTGGGTGCTGAGGGGGGCAGAGATAAATGGGTGTTCCTTTGCTTTCTAGCTGCTGAGCGAGTCTGACCCGGGAACTGCTCCCATCAGAGGCCTGAGGGCTTCCTGCAAAATTGTATTGTTTATCAATCTGTCCAGAGGGAGGGAAAGTCTAGAGCAGCAGTCTTCAACTTCTGGCTCACAGGTAACAAACTGCCCGCAGAGCCCTGCGCTTTAATCCTGCTCCGCTCGCCATGCTGTCCCTCGGCTGAGGGGAGGTGGTGTTTGTAGCGCCCGGTGCACTGGGTGAAGCTGATCAGGGGCCGCAGAAGAGCTCTAAAATCAGTGGGGAGGGTGCAGTGGTGTAATGGGAGGGATCTTCCATTTTCCTCAGACAACTAGGTGGTTTGATAGGAAAATACATCCTGAGGAGAACCGGTTCTCCTGGAGCTGCCTCTTTTTCCTCTGCCCGTTTCATTTCCGTAATTCTCCAAACAGCTGTCCTTGTTCCTCAAAAAGGTGCGTTAATTGCCAGTTCTCTGCCTGGTTGTAGGCTCCGTTGTTTCCAGTTTCGGTTGGGCAAGTGGCCGGGGGGGGAATCCTGGGGGCGCGGGGAAGGTGCAGTTTGTAAAAGCCCTTCCCCAGGCTTGGGCCTGCCGC